AGGTGGCTATTTTATTCAAATGTAAATTAATAAAATGAAACAAAATTAAATGGTTGGTAGCCACACAGGGCTAATGGCTACCATACTGGAAAGTGCAGATATAGAGCATTGACATTATCACAGAAAGTTTCACTGGACAGTGCTTGATAAATTCCATCCCTTTACAGATAGGGAACCTGACAACTGGAGAAGTTCACTGACTGGCCCAAGGATTCTTAGTTGGCCTAGACCTGAGACCCAAACCTCAGGAACCCCAAGCTGACCTCATAGCACTCTGTGATATAGGGTTTTCCTAAGCCAAAGAAAATGAAGAGGGCTAGCAAGTTTCAATTCAATTCAAAAGTGCAAAGTAGCCACTAAGTAGTGTCATACTAGACAAACTTAACTGAAATAAAATTTGCAAGCAAAAGAAACTCCTGGCACAATAATTGTCTTAAGTGGAAAACTTAACTTCTGAACAAAAACTTGTCTTTGTACTTATGTCAAAACACTAAGCTATGTCACAGTAAAAAGTACCATTCAATCACTCAATTTAATGTCAGGTGAAGAAGTTGCATACTAATCAATAACCTCAGATAAACACACTTGTGCCTATTTAAATGCCTGCCCTAGTAATTGTATACTGTATTATTGTGTAGTAAAATAGTCCCCAAAGAAAAATGTACCTTCTTGCATCTTCTGAGTATACATGCATGCAGTTAGGGCTATCACTTACCATCTTTAGATATTAATTACTTGGCTTTTCCAAATTTTTTATATATATATAGTCAAGATTTCTTTTTCATATTTCTATCTTGAGCTAGTTTCAATAATACAATGCTGTGCCTATGTCTGACCTCCTATAAAGAATATCAGCTCCCCTTATACATTTAGATCGGGTTTCCAGGTGGTGAGTTTTCCGACCTAGGACAGCATTTAAAATATAAGTATGTGAGGAATTTGAGTTGGTGTCATAGTTACAGGGACATTTTTGGACATAGTATTTCGGAAAGCTAACATGGATTTTATTGAATTCACAGGTGATTTCTTACATTTCAGTGAAGACATCTCTATCCTGTTTGTTTTAGCACCTTGGATGATTGTGCTGAGAGCCAGTGTATTATTAGAAAACAGCATGCTGCTAGCATTAAGGGAAAGTTTCCTTGCTAGTCTCTAGAGTCAAATAAATAGCATTTGTGTCATTTGACTGTGAAATACAGAATTCCAGACCCAAAATGACTTAATGGAGTTCTTTCACATAGCAGGAACTCCAGAGGTAGTTGGTTTAATTTAGTTAATTGGGTGGCATGACAGGTCATCAAGGTGCCCTCCATCTTGTTGCCCTACCATTGCCTCCGTGTTGCCTTTTGTTCCCAGGCTGTCCCCTCAGAGTCACATCTCTAGGCAGCATATGTTCACACAGCCACATCCAAAGATCAAAAGAGAAGCAGTTTTTCGTCACATGTGTCTTCATTACAGGAAGGAAAAAATATCTTCCAGAAACCCTCCTCATACTACCTCTGGCAAACTGCCTCTTACATCTAATTGCCCAGAATTGGGTCATGTGATCATACCTTAGCATTAAGGGAGGTTGGGTGAGTCAGTTACTCAACGATGTGTAACAAATCACTCTAAAACTTAGCAGCTTTAGACAACTATTTTTTACCTCTCATGATTCTGCATTCTGGGCTGGGCTCAGCAATGTGGTATTTCTGCTTCACATGGCATCTGCTGAAGCTACAACATCCGAGATGACCTGGGGGTTGGCCAGGCGTCTATCTTTCTTCACATGGTCTCTCCGTGTAGTTAGCTTGGGCTCCCTCACAGCCTGGCTGCCTCAGGATAGTCTGACTGCTTACATGGTAGCTGGTTTCCAGAAAAGTATAAAAGTAGAAACTAAAAAACCTCTTAAAACATAGTCTCAGAAGCCACACAGTGTCACCTATGCACTCTGTTGATCAAAGCAAGCCGCAGGGTCAGCTCAATTCAGAAGGAGTCCACTTCTCTTGATGAAAGGAATGACAAAGTCACATTGCCAGAGACATGCAGGACGGCAGGGATTATTGCAGCCATTTGTGGAAACAATCTACCATACTGGAAATCCAAGTACCAGGCATTTTCGGACTCTGGAGGAAGAGAAGGTGGATGGTAAGAAAGAGTTTGAGTAGGGGTGGTAATTAACAGTGAGTCTAAACTAAACTTGATGCTGCAGCCGCCACAGTGGCATCTGCTTTGCTGCAGTGATCACAACCTGGACACAGCCTATTTTAGTCAAGCCTCCCTACCCTAGATGGCTTTTGGGAATGTAATCAGGCCATGCTCAGGAAATTATACCCTATACCCAAATTCCATTTGAGTGAACTGAATTCATCTGGCCTCATTTTATTGAAAGTTTTAGTTGGTAAAAGAACAGATTACTGTACCTTTGTAACAGAATAAAAATGTTCACGGGACAGATAAACACTAAATTCAGCATTATGGCAAAATAGTACAATTTGATTAATTGAGGTAGCATATCCTTGGATTTTGCAATATTGTCCTCTATTCTTTTTTGCATGTTTGACATAGTATATAATTTTAAATAAAATGATAGATTACCATAATGAGCTAGAGTTTTCTTAGTAAGAAGGGGAAGGGCATTTCTAGTTGATTTTCATTCCTTTCTCCATGATTTTCATGTCTTTCTCTTTCTAGGGGCACAGCCTAGGAAGGGAGAACTCTGCAGTATGACTGAATGATACTGGGATGGGTGACTCCACACTCTAGGGAAAACTCAATAGCTTAATGATCAACATGACTCAACATTCTCAAATCCATTCAGGTATCAGAGTTTGTAGAAGTCATGACACCCTTTCAAACCACCCCAAAATGATGATGCCAGGAACTTTTAAAAGTAACATGCCTAATTTTGGGTAAAACCAGCTCATATTTTATACTTGATTCCGGGACAGACCAGTGAGTGGTAGCAGGTGCCAAAAATTATGAGCAACAAACAAACAAAAACTTTGCAGCTGAGAAATTCTAGCAAATGCTATTTTTAGAAAATTGATAAAATTGACTAAATTTTAAATAAATTAAACTTTTTTAACTTTAGCCAAAACTCTGTTTTTTCATTGAAAAGGCTCAATGTAGTTTATGAGACCCCAGTGTTTTAAATAGTCCAAGATTCCCTTGCCATAGATCAGTTAGAGGGCCCAGGAGCCGAGGGATCTGGTCCAAACAGGCAGCTAAAATCCCTTGGTTATAGCATTCTGGTATTGTTACTGAATTTTTAACTCTAACATTTAATTATCCTGTTAGAACTATGGTTGAAATGAGACCACTGACTTCTTTACTCTACAAGATTTATTGAGAGTCCACTATTTGCCAGGCACAGTGCTGAGAACCAGGGAGTCATGAATGAGGACAAGATGGTTCCTGACCCCCAGCAGGAAGCTTAACATCCAGCCAGGGAGAATGGCTTGAAACAAGGTGATGCACACAGTGGAGAGCACAGGGAGCTTAGAGGAGGGCACCAGCACAACACACTTTGGGGTCTGCATCTACATCTCAGTTCAGAGCCTCGTGGCCATCTAAAAATAAAAATATTAGAATTGGATGTGTCCCTGATGCTTCTGGGGACTGAAAGACTTAATTTTAATAGCTACTATGGCCCTGAAGCACTTAAAAAAGCATTTTAGTAAAAGCAATCCATGTTTATGGTAAAAATAGTAATAACATTGAGCAGTTCAGAAGGATATAAAATGAAATGTAGAAGGCCCCCTCCCAAACTTCCAGCCCTACTCCCTATAGGTGACCACTAGTTGCATTTTTTCATTTTCTTGTATGCCTTACCAGAAATATTGTAGACATAGTGTGTGTATATATATATGTGTGTGCATATATATGTATATATGCACACACATTGTGTGTAACACAGATTAAATATTTTTCCTTAAATAATAAAATTTGGCACCTTTTCATGCCTCTCTATATAACTTTCACTGTATGTTACTCTCTCTTTTCTCTCAACAGCCACATATTAGTCCATTGAATGATTAGATGTACCAAAATTTATTTCCTGAGTCTTCTGTTAATGGACATTTAAGTTATTTCCAGAATGTTGCAATTTCAAAAAACCTACAATGAAGATATATATATATATATACACACACACACACACACACATACCCACACACTAAATGACGATGTCTGCAGGATAAATTCCAAGATGTAGAATCACAGTGTCAAAAGGCATGTACATTTGGAATTTTGTCAGATATTGCCAAAACGTTGGACTAATTTGCAGTCTTGTTGACAATGTGCAAAAGAGCCCCAGTTTTCTTTTGCAAGAAATATAGTCAGCCCTCCATATCCATGGATTCTGCGTCCATGGATTCAATCAAGTATGGATTGAAAATATTTGGGAAAAAAATGCATCCATACTAAACATGTATAAACTTATTTTCTTATTGTTATTTGCTAAACAATACAGTATAACAACTCTTTACATAGCATTTACATTGCATTAGGTATCATAAGTAATCTAGAGATTATTTAAAGCATATGAGAGAATGTAGGTTTTATGCAAATACTACACCCTTTTGTATAAGGGACTTGAGCATTTCTGGTGTCCAAGGGAGGTCCTAGAACCAATCCTCCACAGATGCCAAGGGACAATAGACAATAACTCACATGCACACAGAAACACTGATGAAGCTTTGAAAGCAAAGAGGAGTTTGCACTTTATATTTAAATATGTCTAGGCAGAGCCCTGTATCATTTGCTAATAAAAGGAAGTGGCAGAACTCAGTATTCAAAAGGCCTCCCATTTTCTGCGTCTTTCTTCTAAAGTCTTTAAACTGCTGCATCATAAGAATTTAGTTTACTAAATCCAAATTACAAAGTTCAAGTAAACTCTTGCTTGAACTTTGAGTTCATGTACAACTCGGCTTCTAATGTCCTATTGTGAGAGGAAGGCTGTAACAGGAACCTGTTTTGTGGATCTCTCTTTTGGGTAAGGCTCTCGGGTGGTAAGGTGTGGAAAGGTACATTAAGGAAAATGGGAGGGGAGTTGGAGGGGATCAATTAGTGTCTTTTGCTTAATTAAGCACAGTCCTGCGTAGTCCCAAAGCCTGAGCTCTGTTGATCTGCCTGAACCACTCCTCTTTGGTATGGAAATTCATGAGAACAGGACATCTTACTTGAGTAACAGATGCCACCTCCCTTCAGTCAAATTAGTCAAGAAAATTCCAAGAATTATTTTAAGGTATTTTATTTCATGCCTGGCAGAGCATAGAAAAATATTAGCTTCTAGGACTAGACAACTGCTTTGGGGTCTCCAAGAAAAAGGTTTCAAGGTTAGTCATTACTATGCAATTCTGCTGCTGTGACTGATTTTAATGCCATCCCAGGATCAACAATTGCTAGAAAAATCAGGCTTCTTGTCAGAAAAATATGTTTCTTCCCCTAATATCTAATTAATTAAGGTATTTTAACCACTTGACTGTCCATCATGTCTCTTGGAGGAGAAACTGAATTGAGTTGTCAGAAAATCAAAACTTTAATGACTAAAGTCCTTTGAATGTAACTAAGGAGGAAGTTTGATTCATAATCATTTTGTTTCAAAATGCTGAGTATAATTTTTGAAGTTTACAGTGAACATGCCCAGGATATGATGCTGACTTGAGAGAACATTTTGTTTACAAGATATCTCCCGTGTCAATTCAGACGTTTCAGATGGGCCCAGAGAGGGTCTCAGCCTGGTGCCTCTCAGTTGTTTGCAGAACATGGCAGGCAGACTCTCCAAATGTATGGCCCAAGAGAGACACAGTCCTTGCATTTAATTAAAGCAACTCAGTAAACTTCCTGAAATATTTATCCCCCCAACCCCACCCCTTCATATCTCAAAAGAAACGTAACTAAGCACCAGATATTTTTCTTTCTGCTAGTGTTTTGAGGTTTTTCTTGGCTCATTTTTTTTGCAGCTCAGGCACTATGGAAAACTTTACTGCCTTGCAGACATGTCTCTGGGTGGCTGAGGAAACAGGGAAAGCACAACCTAATTCATTTATTTTCTATAGAAAATAATGTCCGGAAGAGTCAATGTTGTCTGTCGCAGTTAAAAATCAGAAGAGGGAAGCTAAGCATTGACTTTAAAAGTAAGGAAGTTTTTAATGAAAGACACTGGAGGCCTTTGCTGGGGATGGGGGAATCTATAAGTAAAGTTGAAGAGATTTTAGGTTTGTCGCCATGATAGGGAACATCCCAATACTCTGAGATATAGACGTAGATATTGGTATAATGAATTTTTAGTCATGTCAGTAAGTAGGGAGATCGACTTCAGTCTCAGGATATTTAAAAATATGTTAGAGAGATTTCATGAAAGAAAAACCGTGACAGCCTTTCAGATATTTTAGCCTAGGCTGCAATTAATACCCACTAAGCAAGAAACGAACTCCTCAAAATAATTAGGTTTTCTTTGAGTAGCTGCTATAATAAAAAGCCAAGTGGTATTTTAATTTTCACGTCATTTCTGAAAGGCAACTTGTATTTTAATTCTTGGTCCCTCCCTCCTCAACTCCAAAAAAAGAAAAGACTGATAGAGGGTTGTTGGATAGGTAGATGTGTAGGTGGATGAATAGACACTCATGCACTTGCTGTTTACCTGAAGGAAAAAAAAAATGGAATGAAATCTCTTTGAAGGTAAGACTATATAAAATTGTCATTTTTGTAGGTTAAAATGACTGAATGTTGGCAATTTTTTATGTTTTAACCTAAAAGACTATGCATCCAAGCACACTTGAACCTGTGTTTGTCTCTACTAAACATTTAGAAATTTGTGATGCAGTTTATGAAACATCTTTCTCATAGTGAAGTTGCCTACCTGAAGATCTTGTTGGTGCTTTAAATCCTATGTGTTTCATTTCTTTAAAAATTCCTTAGTATTCATGCAGCTAATAGGCAACAGTAATAAAGCCCTTGTCTGTCCACTTGCCAGCCTTCCCATTTGGCCAGCAAGCTCTGGCCTGAAACCCCACACTGGGCTCTTGTCCATTTTTCATGAGGCTCCTCATCCCCTCCCTCTTCTTAGCCAGCACTCTGGACAACAGTCAGAAATCAGAAGGGCTTTATTTCCTTAAGCAAGTCACTTCTTTCAGTGTTTCTGGCATTGCTTTGGTGCAGTGGCTTTCCAATTGATGACCACAGCCCACAGTAAGAAATACATTTTACATAACGACCAAGCATACAAATGGTGTGTGTGTGTAAATCAAACAAAAGTTTCACAAAACAATCCTAACTCTTAACAAATGCAGTGAACTGATGCTTTCCAGTCTACTTTATTTCATTTTTTTAAAAGGTACTGCTTGCTACCCACTAAATTGATTTCACAAGCCACCTATGTGTTGGGACCCATAGTTTTGAAAAACACTGCTTTAGTGTACTTGATTCAACCCGGGAATTTTAAGTCTTGGCAGTCAGTCACAGGCTTGCTTATATCGGCAGAAAAAGGCAGGACTATTCATTGCTGGGAACATGGTAAAATCATCCTTTGGCAGCTTTCAGAAATTTTTTTAATAGCAGTGGAAATAAACAGGTATTAAATCTATTAATGGAGGACAGCCTCAGCCAAAAAATAACAAGGGGTTAAAAAAAAAAAAAAAAACAGTCACATACTCACAGAAAGTAGACAGAATCCTGTAGAACCTGGTTCTAGAACTTTGCATCCAAGCGCAACTCTCAGCTGAGAACAACAGGTTAGCCTATTTTCTAGGTAGTATGGAATATGTAAATAGTTCAGAGGTAGACGGTGGAAAACTCACAGTGTTGGTTTAGAAAGTCTGACTCTGCGGCTGCCCATCCTACTTCATTTCTTGTTAAGGCCAGGAACTGAGACTTCTCTGGGCTTCCAGCCACTGGCTGTCTTCGTCCACATCTTGGCCTTCACCGAGCCTTCCTTTTACTACCTTGGGTCACAATTTGTCCTGCTGTGGCCACTTGGTAGAAAACTTGCCTTCAAGATTTGGGACAGAATAAAAGATGCTCTTAAAACCTAGAGGAGGTCACGTATCAGGTGCTACTGGTACCATGATGTGTTAATGTACCAAATCAGAATCCTATTCGTGCAACTTTGGAACCACAGCTTTTGTGAAGCTATAATGTAGAAAAAATCCAAGACAAGTGCACAGTTAATTCTGTGCTTGGCAGTTTTCACTATTTATATGAGTAAATGTTGTTCCTTTCTCCTCTTGACCTTTGGCTACTGGCGCTTCCTTTTAAAGTTCATGCCAAAGTAGGGTGGGAATTTATCATTTGACAACTGAAGGTGAACTGGATCTAATCAGTCCAGGAGACTACATTTGAATTGTTTTCCTACAATGCAACATCAGGTTCTGCCTTCGAACTTTCCTGCTCCCCACATGATCCCAAAAACATTTTAAAGGCCATCAAAAGAATGCTCTGATAATAAAGATTCTTGAACATTCTCTAGCATTGCAGAAAGCTGGGACAACTCTCCCATTGAAAGTTAGTTTTCTTCTCTCTCTTTCAAGTTGACCAGGAAGAGCTGGAAGAGCATTTTTCAGGTATCAGAATCCCAGAACAGCTCCCATCTCACTTACAAACTAAAGGACAGTGGCCTCATACAAGTTTCCCTCACTAGAAATGATTTTCTTCTTCTCTAGGCTGGGAAAGTCACTCTTGGCTTACATTGCTCATAAAATGAATGAAAGCTTAAATAAGATAATGCACATAAAAATAATGTGAGAAACATACAGTCCAACTGTGGGTTCTTATTCTGTTTTTGATCAATCCAGACCTAAACTGAAGTCTTTTAAGTCCTTATAGCCCTATGAATCTGATTTTTAAGGTAAATGTGCAGGTCTTAGATCTGCTTAAAGGAGAGTGGGTAAAGCTGAAGGCACTGGGTAGGGGAGGAACAGAGTTATTCAGTGGCAAAGGAAAGAATATGAAAAAGAAGTGTGTATAAGATACCTGTGTAGAACCCACTGCATTGTGTCTGCAAGTTGTGGTGGATATTCTGAAACTCTCCAAAAGCCTTAATTTCCACAAGCTATGGAGCCTTTAGAAAGTTGCTTGAGTACCTATTTGTGAATGTTAAATTTCATTCCTTGGAATTTACCCAACTTCAACTTCTGTCTAATTTGATCTTCAACTTCTTACTTTATATGAGCACATCTAACTTAAAAGTGAGAAGGGTCATTTTAAGGCCCACTCTCGTGTTCCTCTTGGAACCCCATCCCACTCAGGCTAATGGTGAGAAAATGTAGCACATGTCCTTCTTCTTGCTGCATGCTTGCTCCTCAAAACATAAAGAAAGGTATAAAAAATGGTGTTTTCATAGAAGGAGATGTTGCAATGAGAAAACTTTGATATAAAATTTCTATTTCATCTAGTAATACCATGGTTATTGGGCTTTGAAACTGAGTTTCAACATGAATAAACAAAGCTGCTAGTGAAATGTGTTGAGCTTGAGCTGAGTGTCCTCAGCCTAAGAGTGGATCAACATTCTTCAGCTATATCTACAAGCCATCTAACTGTTTGTCCAAATGCAGATTTTTGAGATGTTTGGAGAAGGACCTAACAGTTGAGGCTGAAATCTTAAACCATATGCATTAAGTCTGTTGTGTACAAAATTCCTTCCTTGCCTCTTAGCCAACGATGGTGACAGGGTTGAGCGGTGAAGAAATGGAGCATATCTGGGATTTCTTTCTTTCTTCACAACTATAGATATCTTTTTGAACCAAGCTAAAAAGAGTACAAAAAATATAATGCTTTCCTTAGAAAGTTATTGTTTTATGAAAGCATGTTGGTATTGTTGGATGCTATTTTGCCAATAAAGGGTTATAAATGGAAAGAGGTATGTCGTATTTCAGGCTGCTGTAACAAAATATCATAGATTAGGTTGCTTACACACCAAACATTTGTTTCTCACAGTTCTTGAGGCTTGGGTGTCCAAGATCAAGGTATCAGCAGATTCACTGTCTGTTAAGGGCCCACTTCATGGTTTGCAGATGGTTGTCTTCTCCTTATGCCATCACGTGGTCTTTCCTTGGTGCATATGTATGAAGAGAGAAATCTCTCCATCTTCATCTTCATGTAAGGGCACTAATCCCATCATGAAGGTCGCACCCTCAGACCTAATCTAAACCCAACTACCGCCCAGAGGCCCTACCTCCAAATACTATCACACTGGAGGTTAGTGCTTCAACATGTGGATTTGGGCAGAGGGAGACACAAACATTTAGTCTATAACAAGGCATAACCCTCCAAATGAACTTTATAAAGCACTAAAAAGACTCTAACCTTAATAATCAATGTAATGCAAAATCACTTTTACTCTAGGTTAAGAATAGGTAATAATTTAGCAATTGTTTATATGATAGCAGAAGCACTGTTTTCTTGGGCATTTTAGTTAAATTTGAGACATAGGAAGTTACCAGGTAGTTAGGGTTAAATGGTCAGTCTTCCTGGAAGAAAATTAGATTAATATGACTTCAGAAATTGTTTCTATAGCTTATGAGGGAAAGGTAATAAATAATTATCATTGAGCTAAGGCAGCCAAGTGTTTGTAACCATTTTTGTGTCCCAGACCCCAGTAACTATCTAGTCAAGTCTATGGACCCCTACTCAGAATAATTATCTTAAATGTGTGAGATTAAATATATAACAAAGGAAACTAATTCTACTGAGGCAGAGCTTTATCCCTAGATTTTTGGGGACCATGGTCCATGGACCACAGATTAAGAACTCCTCGTACTTGAAGCCTACCAGAAGATAAGTAAGGGAGAGTAATAAGGTTAAAAAATGAATTTTTCAGTGTTATAATTACTGTTTTACAAGGCAACGTGAGAATGAAATACAAAGTTTTGAAGTGATCTAAAAGTAGCACAAGAACTCATTGCAATGCTTGAGGAGAGAGCGCCTGAGAATGACTGCAAAAACTATAGCCTCTTTCACTGATTTGCTTCTGTCTCATGAACTTTCCAAGTGTTTTTCACCCCTATTAGATGTTTTTATTTTTCTCTTGGGCAAGGGAACATGTTCACTTTTCTATTGTAAATAGTTTCAGTTCTCCATTTATGGACTCAAAGTACCAATCAAATTATTTCTTTGAAAGTTGAAAATTAAAATGTAAGCCAGGCAGAGAGGCTCATACCTGTAATTCTAGCACTTTGGGACGCCAAAACAAGAGGATTACCTGAAGCCAGGAGTTCAAGACCAACCTAGGCAATATAGGGAGGCCCCATCTCTATGAAAAATTTAAAACCTAGCTGGACATGGTGGTATGCACCGGTAGTCCTAACTACTTGGGAGGCTGAGGGGGAAGGATCGCTTGAGCCCAGGAGTTCAAGGCTGCAGTGAGCTAACATAGCGCCACTGCACTTCAGCCTGGACCCGGAGTGAGACCCTGTATCTAAAAATAAATAATAAATAAATAAGTGTAATATAAATATAAGGAATGAATGGTGCATATTCATCAGTGAGCAGTTCTGAACAGCTGCCACATTGGGTGCTGTGCTAGTTACTGGAATTATAGGCATTTTGAGACAAGGCTCTTGCCCACAAGAAGTTAAAAGTCTGGAAACAGTTACAGAGAAGTAGAAAGATAATTTCAATACCGTGTGATGCGTAACTTTTTTAACTTGTTGTCTCAAATGTTGTAATTTAAATAGAGGGTTGTGATATGTCTTTCTTTTCTATAATCCTGGGTTCCTTGTAAGTGAAAAATCTGTCATCATTACGTAAAAATGATAACATTATGCTTTCTATTCAGAAGCAAAAATAGGTTTTTCCTGGAGATGCTGAGCAGAGCTCTAGAGGCCAAATATTCTATACCCCTGCTTTTGGGCCAAGCATTTGCAGACCATACAAATAGAATAAAATCTGCCTGATTTTTAATGTGTTACATAACTTCTTAGCAAGTCTTACCAATTTTAACAATGTTCAAATTATTTCTCATTTCTTTTCCAGTTTCTTTATAGCATACTTTATGCCTGCTTCTGTCAGTCGTGAAAATGGAAATTAGCCAGACATCATTATGGCTTTTATATACCTCATATATTTTATCAAATAAATAATAATGAATTAGTGAGAGAGTGAACAAATGTACTTGCAAGGCATTACAAATCTTTCTATTGTGTAATCTGTAATTCAGTTCTCTTTAATTTTTCTTTATATCTTCTGTGTTCCAACATCATTATGGATTTCTTTAACCCACCTTTAAATCTCCCAGCGCCTCATCAGATTAGAAGAATAGAACTAGACTTCTGCCTATTTGGAGGGAAAACCAGGCATAATGAAACTGTGTCCGTGCATGGGGCAAATATCATACAATAATTATTGGCAGGTGAATGCATTATTAATGATGTCACCCCTTAATTGAGAATATCAATTATTTGGTAAACGTCAAAGGGCTGATTTATTGTAACAAGCTTGAATCTTAGAGACTGCCAGTAATTCTTTATACCTCATACTTATATGTAACATTACTTTTGGCCAGGAAAACTATTGAAGGAAGGCATCCAGAAGGCAGCAGCTGAAATTTGGGGTAACTTTATAACTAGCTTAATTCTACATATTTCTAGACCTAACTGAATAACCTTTGTGGGTAAATGACATAAATATAACTTTGGTAACTTTTCACCCAAATTTTTGTATAGATGAAAAAACTCACATAAATCATAGATTTTAGATTTGAGAGGGAATGGATAGGTTATAGAGACCAGTCATTCTCAAAACATAAATAATAGATTTTAGATTTGAGAGGGAATAGATAGGTTATAGAGACCAGTCATTCTCAAAATGGGATCCCAACCGGCAACATCAGCATCACCGGGGAACTTGTTAGAGATGCCTATTCTTGGGTTTGCTCCAGACTGACTGAATCAAAAATTCTGGGGGTGGGACTCAGAAATGTGGGTTTCTACAAGTTCTCCAAGTGATTCTGATGTACACTGTATTTTGAATCTTACTGATTTAGATTGGCACTATTGACATTTTGAACCAGATGATTCTCCGTTGTGGGAGAGTGTCTTGTGTATTGTAGGATGTTTAGCAGCATCCCTAGCCTCTACCCAGTAGATGCCAGTGGCATCCGCTCCTCAGTCATGACAATAAAAAATATCTCCAGACATTGTCAAATGAACCCTGGGGTGGGATGGAAGGTGCAATATTGCTCCCTGTTGAGAACCACTGTTCCAGACTAACCTCCAACCGTGACAGAGGAATCTCTTCTATGGCAACATTGACAGGAAACTTAAATATTTAAGTTTTTTTTATTTTAAAGTTTGCATATAACTTTTATAAATGGTATATATTTAATCATATAAAAAACAAGAGTAAACATGTTTTATAAAGTGTAGTTGATTATGAATCTTTCTTCAGAACTTTGCTCCAACATCGTATCATTCAGGCTTCCCTGAGCACACATGACTTTCCCTCCCCTACCCACTCATATCAGACACTGGGTCCACCAGGTGTTTTCTGCACACTTACTCCATGTCTTTATTATAGCGTTGGTGTTGCCTCCTCCCTTCTACAGTCTTAAGTCATGTAATGGTAT